GGTGGAGAGTCCCAGGTGAGACAGTTTCTGGACCAGGATCTCCGGGATGATATGATTGAATGCTGAGCTAAAGTCCAGAAAGAGCATTCTCACATAGCTCACAAGCCCCTCAGAAAGAGGTTCTTGTTTGAGCACAAAGGTGGCAGCAGGAAACAACAAGAATTGGGTGAAGCTGGAAAGTAATGGGAGAGTATTAGCATAAAATCACAAACTATTACGAAAGCTATGTCAATTGCCCGAATACAGCGGTCATCCCACATGTGGTCCATCCGTTAAAGGGGGAGAGAGGGCCCATAGAAAGAAAAGAAGCGTAACAACTAGGAGAACCGACACCTAGTGAGTATAAAGATAGCAATCTGTGGCTAGATTGGCTAATTTAAAATACAAAAGAGCAAAAGGTGTTAGACTGTGTGGCGTGCGCAGCCGCCCGCCCACATGTATTCACTGAACCTGGTCCTCTGTATCCCATTGATACATGGGGGACTTGGTTGTATGTTTAAATTAACTGGAAGTGCTGTTTCTACAGGAAACTACTCCACTTTGGCCAGGCTGTCCCCACAAATTTACGACAAAACAGGTCCAGGACATTTCACCCCGAGAAAAGCTAACTATACTTGTTTTAATTTTACAGTAAGCGATCAGGGAAGCCACAAGCACGACGCTGGAGATGTCAACTCTGACTGGTGATCCGCTGTGATGTATCTGTCCAGAGGAAAGGTAAATCAAATCGGTGAGTACAGGCTATTCGTCAGAATCCCTAGCTGGACTTCTGGGCTGTGTGTCATGGTACGTGTCGGGGCGCCTTTAGTTTTGGTGAAAAGGGGGTGCGACTGGGTGAACCCGGCATTGCCCAATTAACAGCGAAGCGTGGATGCCATGTTTTGAGGAAGCGCTCGATAGGCTCATTTGACCTTTCTGTGGGTTCACCAACGTGTATAGAGGCTATTGGGCTGCCTAGAGGGGTTCCAAACGAATATAAATTGGCTGACCAAATTGTGGCTGGGTTTAAAACGTTGCCAGTAGTTGTGGGGATTATTTCAATTATCCCAATTACTCCAAATTAGATTGTTGACCTTATTAATTACATCCACTACAATGTGCTTAGGTACGCAAACTTAACTTGTGATGCAGTAGAAGGATTAGCAGAGCAATTAGGACCCACTTCTCTTCTCAACAATACTCCCCCTGATGAAACTGTGACCAGAGCACTGGAAGGCCTGAAGACCTTGTCTCAACTCATGTATGAGCTCTTGGGAGTTGACAATCCGCTGGAGGAGGGGATGACCTCTTTCTCTGGGCAATGGAAAGGTTGCATTATGTCCATTAGGGTTTTCTTATCATAGCTATTTTGGTCATTTGTGGGTGTTGTGTGCCTTCTATTGGAGGATTATTGGTAAGGGCCCTGATAACAAAGGATTTGCCTTGAGTTTTCATGAACAAAGCACCTTTGATCTTATTATCATTGCAATTACATCATTCAAAATCTGAGGCAATGTGGACACCCTCTGGGAGTCTGTGCCTATAAGACAGCGGAGAACAGTGACAAACAAGCTGTGCGTTGATGTATTAGTCTACCAACAGCTTTACATCAGCTTTTCTATAACTCAGCCTCATTGTTTTCACTACTATAAAGTTCCTCCTGTAACTTTTATTGTTTCTGATGAGATCATATGGACTTACTATCTCATAAGATCTGTAAGTGTAAAATAACGTTCTTTCAGGATGATGGAGAACTACACCTACAACAGCTACATCCTCCAGTTAGAGGGCTTAAACACTTCAAAGGATTCTCTCTACCCCGCCTTTCTTTTCTTGTTTTTCTCCTACCTGTTTATAATGATTATAAATGTGGGCATTACTATTTTGATTTTCATGAACAAGAATCTTCACCAGCCCATGTATCTCCTTTTTTGCAACTTGCCATTGACTGATATTCTTGTAACCTCTATTGTGGTGCCCCGTTTGCTTATAGACCTTATGAGACCTCCATCTGAGCGCCTCATTAGTTATAATCAGTGTGTTGTTCAGGCCTACATTGCGCACTTGGTTGGAACCACAAGTCACACTGTTCTCATGATTATGGCCTATGACAGATATGTGGCTATTTGTAATCCTTTTCACTATGTTTCCATAATGACCAACAAAATGATGATCAAGCTGACAGTTTGTGCCTGGGGAGTGGCCTTTGTTTTGGTCGGGATTCTTCTAGGTCTGACCACACGACTGAGTCGATGCAGGACTTTGATCACAAACCCCTACTGTGACAATGCCTCATTGTTTAAACTTTCCTGTGAAAGTGTGGTCATTAACAACATCTATGGTATCACTTTCACTGTGGCTGTTTATGTGGGCTCTATAGGGGCAATGGTTCTTTCCTATACAAGCATTGCAGTGGTTTGTCTGACCAGTAAGAACAAGTCTTTGAACAGTAAAGCGTTGAAGACCTGCAGCACTCATCTGGTTGTTTATCTGATTTTGACACTTAGTGGAATGGCACTTATTACTCTGCATCGCTTCCCTCAGTACACAGAGTACAGAAAAATCTTTGCTGTTTTGTTTTCTATTTTTCCAGGCAGTCTGAACCCCATTATTTATGGTGTGCAGTCCAAAGACCTACAAAAAGCCCTTTTGAAGTTTTGTGTATCCAAGAAGGTTTTGGCATCATAAACAGAATGTGTTTCTGTTTGTTTTTATAGAGATTCAACATCTAAAGGGAGATCATCTCTGACAGCTATTTTAATCATAATTAGATGGAAGTTAATGTTTTTACTGCTGTAAGAAACTAATGTATAAAACTTTAGTCAGCATTTCAAAATGTGTGTATGTTCGTGTAAAATAAAAGCTTAAGCCAATCTGTGGTTTTGTCTCATTCATGAAGTTTAATTTACATTAGATGACGTTAAAGACAAAAGCAAATGTTCGCTATCTGCTGGTAAGTCTTTGTTAAACACAGACACAAGGACTGTGCAGTTTTATTGGAGCTAAATACATAATTAGTATTTAAGAAGAACATAATGGTATGAAACCAGCAATAACACCTGGTTATACCGATGTAATGAATCATGCAAAGGTATCTCTTGGCCATTACTGGTCAAGAGATACCTTTGCATGGAAGTAATTTTTAGTATTCTTACTTATACCGTAGCTTTCATTTAAAACCAAAAAAGACAATCTCTGGACTTAAATCTGATTGAGATGTTTATATGAACTTAAACAGGCTGCTTAAAATACAGCTGAATTAAAACAATACTCCAAATCCCTCACATTTATGACACATGCACACTAGCCAATTTTTGTTCTTACTACTGTGCATATGTTGGCAAATCAGACTGGAACAGTGAATTTGGAACAGTTCACAAAATCAGCACATATCACCATTTTGGTTCAGTATTGTATATGTAAGAAACTGAACCTAAACTGAAAGAATAATAATAAGTGTGTGAATGCGAGAGTGAATGAATAGTGGAAATTAGTCGAATTGTAAAGCGCTTTGGGTGCCCTGAAAAGTGCTATATAAAACCAATCCATTATAATAAGGCAATTTGGCATTAGGCATGTCATTGTGATAATCTTAAGTGAGATTCTTGTACAGTAAAATTTGAGTTGTTGATTTCCAAATGCATTTCATTTGTGAGGTAAAAAAACCCCCATTAAGATTGTTTTCTTTAAATTCATAAAGTTACTGCATAAAGTACATCAATAGTTACTCATTCTCTCATGTTAACTAAAAGGAAAATGTTTTTAAAGAGTATGATTTTTATGCTAAAATACAATGACCCTGCCATCTGTCAGACCTTTCGTGCATGTTCAGAACACAAAGGGTATAAAGTTCAGTCTTTTTCTTTTGACTCTTGGTCTGCTTCACCTTCTTCACTTTGGGGCCTAGTTGTCTGTGACAAAAAGAAATTACAAACAGAGATTAACAATAACCCAGTTATTTATAATACAATAAGGTTTTGGAGGGAAATGCACAAAAGGTTGGGCAGAGATTTTTTTGACTCCTTTATTGAGAAACAAAGACTTTGTTCTAGGAATGTCTCGCAGTCTGTTTGATATGTGGCATAACAACAGGCTAAGGGTGATTTGTATTTAAACAACACACTGATGAACTTTGAGCAACTGGATTCAAATTTTAATGTTCCTAGAGAAAAATTTTTTGGGCTTCCTCCATGTTTGTCATTTTGTTGATTCTGAAATTTCACAATCTGCAGAAACAGCTATATATGAAGATTTGGAGACTTTTCTTATTAAACAAAAAGACAGAACTCATTTTATTT